TGCAGAACTGGGGATTGAACCTGAGTTTGCCAGGGAAGTGCTTATTGTACTGAGCCATCTCCCCGGCCCCATAAATTCTTTTTTCTGTGTGGTTCTATGGTTGGAACCCAGTGCCTGACACATGATAGGCAAGAGCTCTGCTATTGAGCCAGTTCAAAATAATGCCAGTCTTTGTTGACATTATTTCTTAGAAAAGATTTCATACTCTGATTTTGATAAATATTTGCTTCTATTTCTTAATACTTAAATATTTAACTTATTTTATATTCACTTTGCTTTATAGATTAACAAACAAATTTAATTTTTCCATTGCTCCCTACCATTTAATCTCTTCTGACTTCACTTCAGTAAAATGACAGCTTTAATAAAATGCTATATTTTTAATGTGTAAGTGAACTTTTGGGTGTTTAATTTTCTAATGTTTCTTTTTTCTTTGGCCCTTTCTTGTGTTAAAATGTTTTTCTACCTAGAACTGCAAATGATATGTTGGGTACCATCATTCTTTCTTTCTGACCCAAATTTTAAAATAATTTTTGGATACTCTTTTTTGTATAGGCTTTTAAGTTTTTAGATTAAAACTCATTTCCAAGTATAGATTTTTCTGAAAATGTTACTGGAACTCCTCTAACCACAGTTTAATTTCGGGGAGAATTGATAAAATTGACATGTTAAATCATCCCATTTATCTGGGACTGAGATTATTTTTCCTATTTGTAGTGACATCTCATTGAACAAGGTTTTAGATTATTGATTCACGTATTTCGATATGTTTTTTCCCCATAGGTTCTCTTTGGGAAAGTAAAGAAAATTCACCCTTCTGTGGATATAAACAAAGTTTCTTTGGATCCTGCTCCTAACTTTGATTGCCACATGTCAAGAAGTATACCTTCTCTGAAAGATACCATTGAACTACAAGCCTATAATTCATTGGTATGTTAACATGATGTTTCAGTTGACTTAAAATTCACTTCATATGCTGCTTCATATAATGGCTACTTTTACTTAGATGTTCCATAGATTAATTCCTAACTTGGAACTCGTACCAACTTCTCTTTTAAAATCAGACTTCACAGCATTATTAGAAAAAAAAGAAGTTCTGGCATAGTGCTTCTGTAGTCACTTTTTGCTTTCTCTGAGAGACAGCAGATAATAAGATGTAAACATCAACACCTCATGAATAGAATTTAACTTCCATTTAGCTATAACTTTACTCATCATGACTGTAGTTAAGGATAGCAGCAAATAATACTTAGCGCTTAATGAACATTTTTAAAAATAAGTACCACACCTCTCCTCTACTTGCAAGTTCTGAAATTGTTTATTTTTAGGGATACTGTTTAGTTGTATAATTTGTCTGCACTCATTTTATTCCCTTCTCAAATCTTCCCCCATTGTTCTTTGTTATTGTCAGAACCTGTGAGTTGTTCTGTACAGAAAGGCTTTCCTATTTCCTATAAGATGATATTACTACACAAGAACACTACAGTGTTTTTATAATAAACTTGTGAGATAAGAAAAAAATAATAAAAAAATAATATAAGGCTTCGTAGCAAGATGACCATGTCTAATAGTAATTTCTATTTCAAAATTGCTGACAATAAATTCCAAATGTTTCTCCTTAAAAAATGGGTATAAAAACAAAAACTTGACCCACATCTATCACCATGCACTAAACTAAAGGCAAAATGGATTAAAGATCTAAACATTAAAACAGAAACTAAATCTCCTGAAAGAGAAAATAGGAGGAACTCTTGAAGACATAGGGATAAGCAAAGAGTTTATGAGCAAAAATCAAATCGCACAGGTAACACTTGAAAGAATTAACAACTGGGACCTCCTCTTACTGAGAAGTTTTTGCACATCAAAAGAAATTACAAAAAAACTGAAAAGACAACCCACAAATTTAGAAAAAATCTTGACAAATAAGCACTCAGACAAAGGTCTGCTCTCTAGAATTTATAAAGAACTAAAAAACATTAGGGCCCCAAAATTTAAAGACCAAGTCCAGAAATGGGCATCCAAGATGAACACACACTTCTCAGAGGACAAAATTACAGAAGCAAATAAATAAATGAAAAACTGCTCCACATCACTAGCCATCCGTGAAATGCAAATTAAAACAACACTGACATATTATCTCACCCCAGAAAGAATGGCTGTCATAAAGAAATCAACCAACAACAAATGTTGGAGAGGCTGTGGGGAAAAAGGAACCCTTCTCCACTGCTGGTGGGAATGTAGACTCATGCAACCATTATAGAAATCAGTGTGGAGACTCCTTAAAAAACTAGGACTGGAAATCCCATTCAAACCAGCTATTCCCCTACTGGGAATTTTCCTGTAGGATCTGAAAACATCATATCATAGTGATATATGTGTGCCTATGTTTATAGCAGCACAATTTGTGATAGCTAAATCCTGTAAATAACCAAGATGTCTGTCACCTAAGGAATGGATGAAAAAGATGTTGTGTTTTTATACAATGGAGTATTGCTCAGCTATAAAAAATGATAAGCTTGAAGCCTTTATATTTAAGGGGATGCCACTTGAAGATATACTCATAAGTGAAATAAACCAGACCCACATGTGTAAATATCATATAATCTCCCTAGTATAAGAACACAAAAGAAGAAATACAAATAGAAAGGTATAACACAATTAAAAGAAAAGCGAGAACTTGAGGATTAGACAATGAAGAGAGAGCAAGGAAAAAAGCTAGGAAACATGACAGGAGCAAAGCCATACATTTATATATACAAGATGGGTAAGGCAATGATACTGAGAATCTTAAGAGGGTTTTTGAAGCTAGCAGTTAATTGGTAGGATTCTCACCCTGACTAAGTATATATGCTGATATCTGTGAACTAAGCAACTGCACTGAAGATGGCAGTGTGTAATAGTAGGGTCATGCTTGGAGTGCCAGTCATTCTGGTCTTCTGAATACATGCTGCTTGTGATGACATGCCGGTTGCTGCCGTGCTGTCTCTTGGGTAGATATTTGTTTAAAAAGGAAGGGGGTGGTGTTTTAGATATATTTTAATTTTTTAAACGTTTTTCTTCATATTCTGTAGGGACTTAAAGTTCAGCATATCAAAACTTTGGGCTGAGGAGATGGCTTAGTAGAACAAGCGCTTGCCTAGCAAGCACAAGGGCCTGAGTTCCATCCCCGGTTCCACCAAAAAAAAAAAAAAAAAAAAAAATCAATACTTGATGAAAAATACCTGTTCCATATTATGCCTAAGATGTTTGATACTGAGACAGATAGTGAGTTTAAGCTCAACATCCTCGATTGTATGGTAATAATAAGCTTCTCTTCTGGATGGTTAACAACCTAAGTTTGCAGACCAAAAACTAGAGAAAAAGGAGGGCCGCAAGGACAGCCAACATTTTGGCCCTAGCCTTCCAAGGTCAACTAAGACTCAGGATCTATGAGAACCTGTACTATAACATCATGTAACTCAGTTGTGTCCCAAACTTTCTGATCAAGAAGATTATGGGGCCAAAGAAGAAAGTGATTGATGATGTAGTATGTGCCTAAAGAGAGTCACATGGAGAGAAAACATTCTCTCAGGCTTTCAGAGAGAGCAAATTGGTCAAGCAATGGCTGTGACACATCCACAAGGCTGACACTGACAAAGGATCTACAAAATGCATTACAGGCTTACGGGCTAAATCCTGAAGGGACTTGACTGACCTCATCAGATACAAAGGTTACAATTCTTGTTATATGGGTCTTGCTTTATCTTGGTCTTCACCATCCAGGAGAAAAGTATAAAAACAAAGTATAAAAAGTAAAGCCATATTAATATGCTGAGATGTAAAAGGCTCAAGTCAACAACTTCTGACATTGCCAGTCTTATGGAAAACCCACTACTATTATGGACTACTGGACTGTTTTGGAATATTTTGCTGAATTCACATACCTGTAATATTTATTTTTTTCATAATTTTATTGATAAATAGCAATGAGACAGTTTCAAATCAGATCACTAGGACAGTTTCAATAACTAACACACTGCATACATTCTTCTTAGTGGTTAATTGCTGTACAAGATGCGGACTTGATATCCTATTTACAAACACCACTAGAACAAATCATTCCATTCATTAACAAAATGTAACTATATATCTATCCTAACCACTTTGAATACACAGATACAAAATGGACATTCATCTGTATCCCCTTTTTTTGTT